TAACTCATTAGTTGCAATGCTTGCAAGGCTTATAATGATGTGCATTATCGAGTGGGCCCAGAGATACCTCTCCGACAATTGGAGTGACAAATCCTAATCTTGAAATACGCCAACCCAACAAGTACCTTCGGAGACACCGGTAGAGCACCTTTATAATCATCCAGTTATGTTATGACGTTTGGTGGCACACAAAGTGTTCCTCCGGTAAACGGGAGTTGCATAATCTCATAGTCATAGGAACATGTATAAGTCATGAAGAAAGCAATATCAACAAACTAAACGATCAAGTGCTAAGCTAACGAAATGGGTCAAGTCAATCACATCATTCTCCTAATGATGTGATCCCGTTAATCAAATGACAACTCATGTCTATGGTTAAGAAACATAACCATCTTTGATTAGCGAGCTAGTCAAGTAGAGGCATACTAGTGACACTCTGTTTGTCTATGTATTCACACATGTATTATGTTTCCGGTTAATACAATTCTAGCATGAATAATAAACATTTATCATGATATAAGGAAATAAATAATAACTTTATTATTGCCTCTAGGGCATATTTCCTTCAGTCTCTCACTTGCACTAGAGTCCATAATCTAGTTCACATCGCCATGTGATTCAACATCAATAGTTCACATCACCATGTGATTAACACCCATAGTTCACATGGTCATGTGACCAACACCCAAAGGGTTTACTAGAGTCAATAATCTAGTTCACATCATTATGTGATTAATGCCCAAAGAGTACTAAGGTGTGATCATGTTTTGCTTGTGAGGGAAGTTTAGTCAACGGGTCTGCCATATTCAGATCCGTATGTATTTTGTAAATTTCTATGTTAACAATGCTCTGCACGGAGCTACTCTAGCTAATTGCTCCCACTTTCAATATGTATCCAGATTGAGACTTTGAGTCATCTGGATCAGTGTCAAAACTTGCATCGACGTAACCCTTTACGACGAATCTTTTGTCACCTCAATAATCGAGAAACATATCCTTATTCTACTAAGGATAATTTTGACCAATGTCCAGTGATCTACTCCTAGATCACTATTGTACTCCCTTGCCAAACTCAGGGCAGGGTATACAATAGGTCTAGTACACAGCATGGCATACTTTATAGAACCTATGGCTGAGACATGGGAAATGACTTTCATTCTCTCTCTATCAACTTATCAAAGCGTATATTCCAACTCCGAGATGCTTGCACTAGTCCATGGATAGATCGCTGGAGCTTGCATATTTTTTTAGTACCTTTAGGATTGACAAAACCTTCTGGTTGCATCATATACAACTCTTCTTTAATAAATCCATTAAGGAATGCAGTTTTGTTTATCCATTTGCCAGATTTCATAAAATGTGGCAATTGCTAACATGATTCAGACATACTTAAGCATAGATACGAGTGAGAAACTCTCATCGTAGTCAACATCTTGAACTTGTTGAAAACCTTTTGTGACAATTCTAGCTTTGTAGATAGTACCACTACTATCAGCGCTCGTCTTCCTCTTGAAGATCCATTTAATCTCAATGGCTCGCCGATCTTTCGGGCAAGTCAATCAAAGTCCATACTTTGTTCTTATACATGGATCTCATCTCAGATTTCATGGCCTCAAGCCATTTCGTGGAATTTGGGCTCATCATCGCTTCCTCATAGTTTGTAGGCTCGTCATGGTCAAGTAACATGACCTCCAGAACAGGATTACCGTACCACTCTGGTGCGGATCTCACTCTGGTTTACCTACGAGGTTCGGTAGTAACTTGATCTGAAGTTACATGATCATAATAATTAGCTTCCTCACTAATTGGTGTAGTAGTCTCAGGAACAGATTTCTGTGATGAACTACTTTCCAATAAGGGAGCAGGTACAGTTACCTCATCAAGTTCTACTTTCCTTCCACTCACTTCTTTCGAGAGAAACTCCTTCTCTAGAAAGGATCTATTCTCAGCAATGAATATCTTGCCTTCGGATCTGTGATAGAAGGTGTACCCAACATCTTCTTTTGGGTATCCTACGGAGATGCACTTCTCCGATTTGGGTTTGAGCTTATCAGGTTGAACCTTTTTCACATAAGCATTGCAACCTCAAACTTTAAGAAACGACAGCTTAGGTTTCTTGCCAAACCATAGTTCATACGGTGTCGTCTCAACGGATTTAGATGGTGCCCTATTTAATGTGAATGTAGCTGTCTCTAATGCATAACCCCAAAATGATAGTGGTAAGTCGGTAAGAGACATCATAGATTGCACCATATCTAATAAAGTACGGTTACGACGTTTGGACACACCATTACACTGTGGTGTTCCAGGTGGCGTGAGTAGTGAAACTATTTCACATTGTTTTAACTGAAGGCCAAACTCGTAACTCAAATATTTTACTTCTACGATCATATCGTAGAAACTTTTATTTTTGTTACGATGATTCTCCACTTCACTCTGAAATTCTTTGAACTTTTCAAATGTTTCAGACTTGTGTTTCATCAAGTAGATATACTCATATTTGCTCAAATCATCTGGAAGATCAGAAAATAATGATACCTGCCGCGAGCCTCAATATTCGTCGAACCACATACATCAGTATGTATGATTTTCAACAAATCTGTTGCTCACTCCATTGTTCCGGAGAACGGAGTCTTAGTCATCTTGCCCATGAGCCATGGTTCGCAAGCATCAACTGATTCATAATCAAGTGATTCCAAAAGCCCATCAACATGGATTTTCTTCATGCGCTTTACACCAATATGACCTAATCGGCAGTGCCACAAATAAGTTGCACTATCATTATTAACTTTGCATCTTTTTGGCTTCAATATTATAAAAATGTGTATCACCACGATCGAGATCCAACAAACCATTTTCATTGGGTGTATGACCATAGAAGGTTTTATTCATGTAAACAGAACAACAATTATTTTCTAACTTACATGAATAACCGTATTGCAATAAACATGATCCAATCATATTCATGCTCAACGCAAACACTAAATAATATTTATTTTAGGTTTAACACTAATCCCGAAAGTATAGGGAGTGTGCGATGATGATCATATCAATCTTGGAACCATTTCCAATACACATCGTCACTTCACCCTTAACTAGTCTCTGTTCATTCTGCAACTCCCGTTTTGAGTTACTATTCTTAGCAACTGAACTAGTATCAAATACTAAGGGGTTGCTATAAACATTAGTAAAGTACACATCAATAACATGTATATCAAATATACCTATGTTCACTTTGCCATACTTCTTATCCGCCAATTACTTGGGGTAGTTCCGCTTCCAATGACCAGTCCCTTTGTAGTAGAAGCACTCAGTTTCAGGCTTAGGTCCAGACTTGATTTTTTTCACTTGAGCAGCAACTTGTTTGCCGTTCTTCTTGAAGTTCCTCTTTCTTCCCTTTGTCCCTTTACTTGAAACTAGTGGTTTTGTTTACCATCAACACTTGATGCTTTTCTTGATTTCTACCTTCGTCGATTTCAGCATCACGAAGAGCTTGGGAATCATTTCCGTTATCCCTTACATATTATAGTTCATCACGAAGTTCTAATAACTTGGTGATGGTGACTAGAGAATTCTGTCAATCACTATTTTATCTGGAAGATTAACTCCCACTTGATTCAAGCGATTGTAGTACCCAGACAATCTGAGCACATGCTCACTGCTTGAGCTATTCTCCTCCATCTTTTAGCTATAGAACTTGTTGGAGACTTCATATCACTCAACTCGGGTATTTACTTGAAATATTAACTTCAACTCCTGGAACATCTCATATGGTCCATGACGTTCAAAACGTCTTTGAAGTCCCGATTCTAAGCTGTTTAAGCATGGTGCACTAAACTATCAAGTAGTCATCATATTGAGCTAGCCAAACGTTCATAACATCTGCATCTGCTCCTGCAATAGGTTTGTCACCTAGCGGTGCATCAAGGACATAATTCTTCTGTGCAGCAATGAGGATAAACCTCAGATCATGGATCCAATCCTCATCATTGCTACTAACATCTTTCAACTTAGTTTTCTCTAGGAACATTTCAAAAATAAAACAGAGGAGCTAAACACGAGTTATTGATCTACAACATAGATATGCTAATACTACCAGGACTAAGTTCATAATAAATTTAAGTTCAATTAATCATATTACTTAAGAACTCCCACTTAGATAGACATCCCTCTAATCATCTAAGTGATCACGTGATCCATATCAACTAAACCATAACCGATCATCACGTGAAATGGAGTAGTTTTTCAATGGTGAACATCATTATGTTGATCATATCTACTATATGATTCACGCTCGACCTTTTGGTCTCTAGTGTTCCGAGGCCATATCTGCATATGCTAGGCTCATCAAGTTTAACCCGAGTATTCTGCGTGTGCAAAACTGGCTTGCACCCGTTGTAGATGGACGTAAAGCTTATCACACCCGATCATCACGTGGTGTCTAGGCACGACGAACTTTGGCAATGGTGCATACTCAAGGAGAACACTTTTATCTTGAAATTTAGTGAGAGATCATCTTATAATGTTACCGTTAATCAAAGCAAAATAAGATGCATAAAAGATAAACATCACATACAATCAAAATATGTGACATGATATGGCCATCATCATCTTGTGCCTTTGATCTCCATCTCCAAAGCATCGTCATGATTTCCATCGTCACCGGCATGACACCATGATCTCCATCATCTTGATCTATATCAATGTGTCATCACATGGTCATCTCGCCAACTATTGCTATCGCATAGCGATAAAATAAATCAATTATTTGGCGCTTGCATCTTATGCAATAAAGAGACAACCATAAGGCTTCTACCAGTTGCCGATAACTTCAACAAAACATGATCATCTTATACAACATATTATAAAATAGGGCTGCTATTGAAAATAAAAAAACCCGATGAGACATGAGAGTGAAAACGATGGTGAAGCCGGTTCTGTTGGAACCTGCCTTGCTCTGCTCCCCCAATCCCCACCCAAAACCCTCGCTTCCGCCGTCCATGGCGTCGCTGATGGACGACGTCACCGCTGAGATCTTCCTCCGCCTCCCGCCGGACGAGCCGGAGCACCTCTTCCGCGCCGCCCTCGTCTGCAAGCCCTGGCTCCGTGTCCTCCGCGACCCCTCCTTCCGCCGCCGCTACAGCGTCTTCCACCGGGCCCCGCCCCTGCTCGGCCTCCTCCACAAGCTCCAGGTCTTTGAAGGAGATCCCGCCGCCCGCCTCGCCCCCACCACTGCGGCGCCCCTCTCCCCCTACCCCGACCTCTGCCGCACACGCCCCCTCGACTGCCGCCACGACCGCGTCCTCCTCCACGTGGGGGTCGGGTCCTGGCATTTCATGGTCTGGGACCCCGTCACGGGCGAGCAGCACCGCTTCCCTGAGCCTGGCATCCCGAAGCTCATCTACACCGCCGCCGTGTTCTGCGCCATGCCGGGCTGCGACCACCTCGACTGACACGGCGGCCCCTTTCGGGTTGTCTTCCTGGTCACCGAAGAGGTGAAGACTACACAGATCTAGTCAAGGCCGCCGTGTACTCATCAGAGACAGGTGCGTGGAGCGCGCCAGTGACAATGGACGCTGGCTGCGATGTCCAGCATAGGCGAGAAGCCCTTGCGGCTGGATTCTACTACACACCCTATGTCCAGCCTAGGCGGGGCGCTGTCATTGGAGATGAAGCCTACTTCACGCTTCGCTGGGGTAACCCAGTCGTCAAGTATAACTGGAGCAAGAATCGCACATCCCTGATTGATCCGCCAACAAAGTGTGTGTACAAGCCGGGTGTCAGAAAAGAGTATGGTAACAACGTCGCCTCATGGTGATGGAGGATAGTTCACTGGGGTTTGCCTGCGTCGAGGGTTCCAGCCTTCATCTATGGTCAAGGAAGGTGAATGCAGAAGGAGATGCAGAGTGGGCACGGTGCAGGGCCATCCAGCTGGAGAGTATTATACCTGTTGCCAATTCTGATGACAAACCATTTGTGGTTGGATGTGCAGAGGGTGTGGGTGTCATATTCGTCAGCACAGGCGTTGGCTTATTCACAATCAAGCTAGATTCTGGGCTTGTTAAGAAGGTTGCCGAGTCTGGGGTCTACTTCAGCGTCCTACCCTACATGAGCTTCTATACTCCAGGTGTGGTCCTGGCCCTTCTTTCTTGTCTGTTATCCTGTGATTTCTTTACATCATTTATATGTTCGCTTAATTTGTTGGTTTATGGTTTGTGAACAATTGCTCATAATTTAAGTAGGGGCTTGCTTCGGTAGACCCCCCCCCAACAAAACGTAGAAGGGCATAATGGTCATACGGAAGAAACATATGCCCACCTCCTATCATACCGTATAGACCGACGTCCGTATACCTTGACCAATAAAAAAAAACCGCCACATGTGTAGAGGAAAAAAGTCAGCTGCACGATCTTCTCGCCCGCCCGACGTTCACGCATGTCGATCACGCCCAGTTTCTAACTGTGCGATCGCCGCCGACTGAACCCCATCCGACGCCGCATCTGAACGTCGCCGCGGATCCGTCCCGCGTCGACCTACGCCGGCGACGTCTACACCGCGGCCCGCGTCGACTGCGACTGACCGCGCGTCGTCCGCACGCCGCGGATCCGGCCCTGCGTCGACCTACGTCGGCGACGTCTACACCGCGGCCCTCGTCTTCCACGTCGCTGCCGTCTTCCATCTAACCCTCGTGTTGCACGTCACCGCTGTCTACTCCGCGGCCGAAGGTTTGCCATCTAATCTCCTCGTCTAAACCTAGCATGCTAGATGATATGAGTCACACATAGTGATCTAGGGTTTATGGTTGAGTAAACATGCCGTCGCAGCGGCGCCTCCCCGGACGACCGCATGTTGTAGGCAGATAGAGTTGCAGTTGGGCATGATCCACAGTACAAACTTAACACGTGATGAATTCACAATGTTATGCAGTTTGGTCAGTTAGGCGTGTTGCCATGGATGAACAAACCACATTGACGGGGGATGATAATGGTACTAATAAGGCGACTCGGAATGATAACGATATTTTTAATGAAGATGATGACAGCAGCGACAACGATTCCGTGTCGTCATTTGATATCTTGCCTCCGGAGGATTTTGATCATAATGAACATGGCGCAAATAGTGAAAATGTAAGTGCCGTATATTTTGGTTTCATCTTTGAACCTGCAATGTATGGCATGGCTAACTATTTCTCTATGTATACAAATTTGCAGGAAGATGTGGATGTTGACAATGTGGAAAATAGTTTACAGGAATCATTCGCGGATAACTTGAGCCAGGTTCGTACATAGATGTTGTACATCGATGAATATTATGAATTAAATGATAGTAGTTAACATATACATTTTCATATGAATTTTGTAGGAGGAGTCAGATGGTATTCGCGGTGATCACGATGAGGGGGAGATCGACATTGAGGAGGCTCGAAGGCAGCAACAAATGGTGGATACACATTGGAAGGTGATGGCTATGACCTTTCGGTCACAAGGTGATGCATACATATTCTATAACAATCACACCAAAGAGAACGGGTTTAGCATCAGAAAACAGAAAGTCAAACGAGGTGCTTCAGGAATGATACGGTACCGGAGATTTCTTTGCTCCAGGGCAGGTAGAAGGCAGAGCAAGTTTATAACCATGGAGGGCCGCAAGCGCGGGCTTAGACCGGAGACTCGTTGCGATTGCGGTGCACATATGGTGGTGAAGCTGGACAGAGAACGTGGTGTTTGGTTTGTCGCGTCATTCGTGGATGATCACAACCACGCGATGGCTAGACCCGACGAGGTTTGTTTTCTGTGGTCTCACAGACGGATTGGAGAAGGCACGAGGGCAGAGATATTGGCGTTAGAAGCTGCCGGGATAAGAAAGCATATAATAATGGACAACTTTATCAGCAGATACGGTTCGTACGATAAGTGCAGGCTTATCAGGAGGGATATTTACAATCTTTGTTGCAGAGAAAAGATGAAGCTCATAGCAAAAGGTGACACAGAGACGACAGTTGGCATTATGAGGAGCAGGAAGGAGAAGGACCCTGAGTTTTTTTTTGAGTATGTGCGTGACAAGGAAGGGCGACTGAAGAGTATGTTTTGGTGTGATGCACAGTCGCGGAGGGACTATCAGGACTACGGAGATGTGGTTGTGTTTGATAGCACGTATAAGATGAACAGATATGATATGCCGTTCGTCCCCTTTGTCGGAGTTAACAACCACCGTTGCACCACAGTGTTTGGATGTGCCATAATTGCTGACGAGACGGAAGGGACATATGTGTGGCTGCTGCAGACATTTATGAAGGCAAACTGCCAGGTGAAGCCAAAGTCAATAATCACAGATGGTGACGCTGCAATGATCCGGGCTATTCGGACTGTGCTTTTAGATGTTTTCCATCGTCTTTGCTCCTGGCATATCGAGAAAAATATGCAGAGGCACCTGCATTACAAGTCACTGGATGAGTTCAGATCGCTCCTATACTATGCCACCTCTCAAGCGAACTTTGAGCAGAGATGGACCGCTTTCTATAATAAGTGGAAGACGGATAGAACTAAAGAGTGGCTTGACATGATGTACACGAAGAAGAGACTTTGGGCAGCTTCATATCTTTCCGATGGTTTTTTCCTTCGTATGCGAAGTAACCAGAGAAGCGAAAGCCTCAACTCCTGCCTTCACCTACACCTGGACTACGGTATGACAATAGTTGATTTGGTTGTGCATTATGAGAACTGTATAGTTCGCCTGCGTGAGAATGAGGCGTACGATGACTGTGAGGCACACCAAAAAGAACCACCGTCGGTTACTGAATATAAGGCACTTTAGGAGCATGCCGCCAAAGTATTCACACCTGCTAATTTTTACATCCTGCAAGATGATTTGCACAAGATGGGTCAGCTGGAGATATTTGAGACGCTCGTGGGAATTGAGCGTCAGACATATATGGTGACATGGAAGGATAACCACAAGTTCATGTATAATGTTGTTTATGAACCAGGTAACTCAGAAGAAACTATAACATGCAGTTGTCTTAGGATGGTTCGGAAAGGCCTGCCATGCAAACACATTCTTTTTGTTCTCCATCATCAGAGCATAACTGAAATACCAAAGTGTTGTGTCCTTCATCGGTTGTCAAAAAATGCGAGAGATGGATTGCCTGTGCAGCGGAAGAGTGATATGTTTGGATGGGGTTGGTCAGGGCCATTAGAGAGAGACCGGTATAGTCAAATAAGCATAAAAACCGCCGAGGCAGCTCATGTTGCAGCAAATGATCCCTTCTTGTTTGACGAGTTGATGAAGTGTCTGGACAACATAATAGCGCAGAAAAAGATACCAGAGGAGGAACTTATAGGAAGTAGAAGGTATGCTAAGCTTAAGAAGGAGGCAAGTCAAGCGCAACAAGTTGAGCCTGGTATTGGTGATCCTGAGAAAGTTTCGACGAAGGGTGCACCTAAGAAGGGGCGGTCAAAGGGGGGCTCCGATGTTACAAAGAATGGTAGGCCAAAAGATTTTACAGAGAAAAAAGTGGTCCTTTGTGCAGTCTGTGTAGTCTACCAGGTCATAACAAGGCTACATGTCGAAAAAACCAGAAGTAAGATGCTACCTTATTATTTTTTGCTATGTTGGTACTTCGGTTTTACAAACTATATTTTCTCACCCATATTTTTATGTTATGTTCAGGAATTGGGCGTAGAGAAGCATCTTGCTATGTTGGAAGAATAAAAACGGTCGCATGAGTCTAGTCCGAATAAACTATGTTGTTTCTTGTTCGTACTTGTGTGGCAGAAAACTTTATGTCTCGATTTATTTATGTGTGATGAAAATACTTATGTGAACATATGTGATATGACACATCATATTTGTTTAATGAATTGCCATCTTATTTGTACTGCTATGTGAAAGAGTTCACAGTTTTAATATGCTGCGTTTTTGTTACTGTACCTATTGCAAAAAACATGGCCGACCGTCGTTGTGCAAAAAAACATAGCCGACCGTCGTTGTGCAAAAAAATGCCCGACCGGCTGCTGGACCGCAAGTTGGGCTATATTCCCAACCCAAATCAAGCCAACGAGGCGACTCGGGAGGTCCATATAAAGCCCATCAATGGCCCAGCAGCCGGGTCCAACGGGGCGGCGATTTCAAGCAGTACTAGCAGAGGAGTTCGACCTGTGTAGCACGCCGGCATATTTAAGCTGGTCCTCACCCCCGTCAGCTTTCGAGGTGGTACTAAACTCCTTCGTCGGGCGCGCGAGACGACGGTGACTGGGCCGGGGAGGGGCGAGGCTGGCCCTGTCGTACTGGGCCGACATGGGACGGGCGGCGATGTTGCAAGAAATGGAGCCTCGTCAGCGTTGCGTCGACCGCATCGCCTTATTTAATCCCACCTCGCCAACGGAAGGGCGCACCGACCAGCTTAAATAGCCGCGTCGGCTGTTTCTCTCGAACTCCTCTGTTACAAGCTCCTTGTCAGCCCCGTTGGCCTACTTGTGGGCCCTTGTGGGGTCCGCATCGACCGCCCGAGTCGCCTGTCGGCTAGATTTGGGTTGGATGCACAGTCCCTGGGTCCACAAGGGAAGGTCGGGCTATTTTTTTTCTAGTCAAATTTTTTTTAGCAAACGAGGAGGCGTCCGCCTGCATTTATATGTGCATCTAAGAACCAACAAACGGCGGCTGACATTATCATCACATAATAATATTGCACATAAAGCCAGCCGTCTGCCTCCATTTATATGAAACTCTACGAGCCAACAGACGGCGGCATCATCATCACATAAGCATATAGCACATAGCAGCTTAACATATATAGTTGGAAAATAAATATTGTAGCTAGTACCGACGACGGCACCTTTATTTAGTTGCGGACGTGCATAATCATGCCCATTACAATAAGAAATGTCATAATATTAAAATTGTTCCTAGTGCCGTCAACGACACATTTATTTAGTTGCGATAATAAGAAAAAGAATGTTCTCGTAGCCAAAAACCCATCAACAAACTAATTTCTTGTCCATGATCTTCAAAATCTTCTCTTTCACAGTTTTCATCGTGTTGCACTCTGAAAAAAGTATTTCAGCTAGAATGCGTCCCCTTGAAGCATTCACCTCATCTTGATCAAACTCAAATATCCATTCATCTCCA